GGCAACCATGGTGGATACAAATAAAAATCCCGAAAAAAGCACTGGAAAATTATCCTGCGAGAGCAATAAACGTTCGCAAGTGCATGAAATTAAATGCTCGTTTAGTGGACTCAAATCCACATTTTTCTACCCACTACTTAGTAAAAGTATATTCGATTTATGATAAAGGGGCGAGAAAAGCCAAAGCGGCGAATAAAGTTGGTGAAGTTGTGAGTAAAAAAGAGAGTATAGATGACGAGTAAGAAGGACGAAATAAGGAAAAGTAAAAACGACGAGTAAAACTGACGAGTAGAGATGTCGAATTAAGACGAGGAGTTAAGTCTACGAGTAAGGAAGATGAATAAGGCGATGAGAAACTTTCTTCAATTATTAAAAGATTACAATTAATTTATATTTATACACAAATAAAAATCAATTTAATACAATTAATATCAAAGGTCCCAAAAACACACATAATATATTATTTTATTACATTTCAATGGGTATAAAGTAGTTGAATTTCGTACCTACAGAACATTCCAAAATCTTCTTTTTTGGGAGAGGAATGCCGCCAAATGCATCCGCATTCGCATTCGCTTTTAGCGTGCGCAATTACACTTGAAGAAATCCTGGGGATTTCATGCGAAAATCCATTTGTCACAATGCCGAGTACGTGAGGCAGCGCTGCGGCTGCAGCAGTGCGTGTAAATGTGTCGCCTGGGCACTGCGCGCGAGTCCTTGGGGTCCTTTGGATCCTTTGGATGCTGTGCAATGGCTGCAGCATAGCTAGTTCCCCTGCTGCCGCTTCTGCTGCTGCTGCTGCCGCTGCTGCAACTGCAGTTTGCCGGGGCTCAGTCACAATGACACTTCATTTCAGTTGGCCTCTGCGGCAAGGACTCGATGCTTTGCCAAAATATATGTACACATCCACATGCCTGCCTCGTATCTGCAGATGTATCCGTATCTCTGTGGTCATTGCCTGGAGCCTTTGGATGAGGAAATAGCCAGCTCTGGATTATTCGAAGCCCACCCAGTGCGTTCGCTTAATGCAGTCGCTCCAAAGGCAAACTCTGGCCAGCCCAAGGAGGGCAGCTCGAAGCGTATTGGGAAAGGTAAATGGATTCTTGGATTCTCGAATTGCAGGATTGCAGGATTCTCGGGTTCTCAGACTCTCGGATTCTAGGACTTTGGCAATGGATGTTGAAATGACAACAGCTGTGGGTGGGTGGTGTCTAAAAGGTCAAGAGGAGATGTTAGGGAGAATGAGAATGAGTTTAAGGATAACACAGGGTATTTTCAATATAAATTGTTAATTATCTGTACTCTTATAAAATAAGTAAATATATGATTTGATTAAATTATATATTAATGATTCATGGTACTTTTAATTTAGTTTTCAGAACAACAGATTGTTTAATACTATACTCTGTTTATAATCCTTTTAGACTTAACTTCAATCGGATTAGTTTACAAACTAACACACAACACTCTTACACCAAGGCTTTTATTTACAAAGCATCCTTCCATGGCACTCACCACCACTTTGCCTTGAACAATGAGGATGAGGGAAAGGGATTTAAATTATAACTTCTTCATCTTAGCCCTTGATCTCTGCAATCCGCCCTCGCTTTCACAGATTTGAAGTGCGAAGGCAAACGCCGCACAAGTTTTCATAATCATGAATATTGTTTATCGCTCTGTGAGCAGCTCAGAGCTCCCAGCCATTGCAAGTGCATTTGAGCATAATGAGATAGACTTCAGACTCTCCGGACTCCGGACTTCGGGCTCCGGACTCCAGAATCCAAACTCCAGACACGAGTCTCCCCACTCTGAGCCGATTTCATTGCCGGATGTTGGCCGGAGTTAAGTCGGAGTTTAAGCCTCTCGCTAAGTGCTAAGTAAAAATAACTGAGGCCATAACAAAGGGCTAAAAAAATACTCTTTACACACTTGACATTGCAGTGGTTTTTGCTCTCAATCTCTTGCAAAAAAAAAAGAGTTGAAGAAAATCTCCAAAAGAAAGGATGGGAAATGTGAGTATTCCTTTTGAGAATTTTTTAAAGGAATATTTAATTCCAGTGTAAATGAGTTTTCAAGTCAAAGGAAGTATATGGTTTGATTGGTGAAATATGAATTTAATTTAATGTCTGAATAAATGGCAAGCGTTGGAGCTGATGATGCTGATTGAAAGGCTCCTGTGGCTTGGCATTAAAAATCCTTAAATTGGCTGCCCATGGTATTTTCATATTGCGTTGTTTCAAGGGCTTACAACGTATTTACACATAGAATTACATAAATGCTGAGCGCATTAACTTTAATTGAAAAGTATTTTTAATTAATAAAATTTCAACACATTGACGGGCCCGGCACATAACACATAATTGCAAGTAGGCATTAAAATTATTCCCTTGCCCCGCCGACAAGGGCAATCATCACAACAAAAACAATATAATGTCAGTACAAACAAACTGCATCCGACACAAGTACATATATAAATATATATATATGAGATTATTTTTATATATTTACTACAATGTACATACATCGTATTGATATGTCAGACAACAACAATGGCAAACGGAACGGCGAGCAGTGGAAAAAAGGTTAATTGACCAACAAATAACTTAATTAAATCAAATGAAAATTAAACAATTCAATTTTTAATGAGGTTCGCTGGTTTTGACCTCGTTTCAATTATGAAAAGCCAGCACAATGGGGCACAAGTGCCTCGGTCCTCGGAGTAGGCAGCGCCAGCTCCCGGATGACTGATGGGACGAACGGACGGACGGACGGATGGCAATCGGGTGGAGGTCGGATCCGCCCATCCGGAAAAGTGGAAAAGTGGAAGTGCCAGTGGCCAACTGACAGCTCTATTAAAATTTTCGAATACCCTCAATTTGGACCGCCTCCTCGTTTCGCGGATAGCCGTAATTTCCCTTACCCTTTCTTCACAATAAGAAAAAAAAATGGTCAGTCGGAAACTATTAATTACAGGTGGGTCCAAGACCAACAAAAAAAAACAGGGTTAAGGATGGGATCTAGCCATGAATGGGGGCCGTAACCGCAGAGACACGTGTGAGCTATTAATTGCTCAAATATTTAATCATAGAGTTGGAATGCCTTAACTAGCTCATTAACCAGCTCAAAAGTTGTATTAAAAATGTGTTTTTAAAATGATTTTTTACCATGTAGAAATAAAATAAATATCTTTATTAAAAGTGGAGCTAATTTATAAGGCAAACGCAACTAAATAAATGGGAAATATGGCTTAGATAATTACCTAATACTTATTTAAACAAACTGTTAAAAAAGATAATATATCTCAGTTAAAAGAATGTCTAGTCTAAGTAACTAAAGTAAACTAAAACTAATAATAACATTTAAAATCCCACAAACCTCTTATTGTTTCCAATTTAAGAATAAAAAATCCTTAAAGTCACAACGTTTAAATACCATTTAATGTAATTAATACAAAATAAAAAGTGAACCCTTGATTAAACAACAAAAGTCCCCATAGCTGACGCTTATCCTCCTGTTAAATCAATAATTAATTATTAATGATTTGCAATGTGACAATTGCTTATGTAAGGATAATTCAATATTGCAGCAGATCAACTATCAAAACTGAAACACACACAACGATTCTTTAACGAAATGCAAGCCCCTGGGAGTTGGGGAGTTGGGTCCATAAAAAATACATAAATTATGTAAATTGATAAAAAAAAAATAACCAGCATACCTCGGCAATAAAATGATTATAAAGCGGACTGAATGAATGAATAAACAATAGCCACTTGCGGGAACTGCAACAATTGCGGGCCGGCACTTATAGTGGAACAATTTACAACTGCCGAGTGGCAATTGAAACTAAGACTATGGCCAAAATGGTTTCCATTGTTTTTGTTGCCTCCATTGAGCCCCCTCCCATTTGTTGTTCCCGTTGTTGTTTTCGTTGTTCTGGCGGAGTGCGCGTTTAATGAATTTTATTGATTGCAAATACAAAATAAGAACAGCATCACGCAAATGGAAACCATTTACAGCTTAAAAATATTTAATTACCAACCGAGGGGGGCTGGCTGGCGGGCTGGAAATGTTTCAGGTCTTGCCACCAAATTGCAATTAATCTTCTTTTAACAGCAAACTTTTGATCCGCTTTATTTGCATTTCACTGCGGCCCACAGAGAAAACCAAACGACGAGGACGACCCGCAGACAGAAGGGGAAATATAACGAAAATGCTTGTCATAAAAATTATCAAGGGTTAAAAATTATGTTACGCGTTTCATTTCGGTGGCTGTGAAATGATTTATGCAAAATCTGTGCCCAACGCTTTCCTACCTCCCCCCCTCGCCAACGTTAACAAAAATGAATATAAATTGTGCAATTTCATGTTGTTCTTTTCGCTGACCCCGGCCCCCAAAAACTTAGCTCAACTTTTTATGTCCGGCAAATTAATTTAAAAGCAGCAACAACAATCGCCACAAGTACACAATAAGTACACGAGAAGAAAGTTAATTAGAAAAAATAATAATTTAAGATAGAGTTAATGGTAAAATTTAAGGAATAGTTAACTTCAAGATGTACACATAATTGGTTTTTAAAATATATAAATTGTAAACTCTACATTGTTTTGCATAAATTTTTAATTAAGCTTTATTAACTTACTTAAAACTGTATAAGAATTATATTTTACATTGTAGTTAATTGTAATACTTATATATATTTTATGGAAATTACGAATTAATTACTTCACTTGAATAAGACTTTGACTAGTAAACTTATGTAAAAACAATCAATTGAACTTTGTTATGGGTTTATTTTGCATATAAAACGCAACAATTTCAGATTGCAAAGGACTTTTAATAGTCAACATTACCAAGTCAAATAATATTTGTATTCCTTTAAGTGTAAAATAACAAATTGCAAAAGGGACCCAGGGCCTGCCTTCCTGCACATTATTTATAATCTCAGATTGAATGATTTTCACCACGTTCCTTTTTTTCTCATCCCTGGAGTACAGCATTAGCCGATGATAATTTTCTGATAGCCCAGGTAACCGGGATAGTAACCACTGCCATAGCCATAATAACCTGGAGTGGAACCATAGTAGTTGTAGGGGTAGCCGGGAAATAACCAGGAATAACCACCACTCCACCCGGCAAAGGGGAATCCGGCGATGCCGCCGCTAAAGAAGATGCCACGCCGCCGCCGTCCCGGAAGCAGATTCCGCACTGTTCCCTGCCGCACCGCAGAGCCGCCAATTTCCTGCTCCAATGACAGCAAATCCGTTTTTACATCGCCAACTGGTGCCACATCCTTGTCAACAGACGATGCCGTCATTGCCGCCATTGCGCCACTCAAGTGCGTGCCCGGCAGCAACATCAATGGCAGCAGCAACAGCAACATCAGCAACACTCGCTCGCGACGCATATTTAAATATTTAAATATTTAATTTAACGATGAAAATATGATATTTATATTTAATTCAATCGACAAGCCGCGTCAATGCTCTTCACACAACTGTCAGTCAAAGGGTCGCTGATGTTACCTATTTATATATGGATAAGTCCGACTTCAATTTAATGCCAACACCATTGACGTTTGTTTTAAAGCCCGCTAATTGAGGCCAATGGAAATTGTTTAATACATGAAAACTTGTACAAAAAAAATCAGTGACAAAGGGAAAAAATGAGTGAAGCTACAAAGAGTCAAAATTGGGACACATTAAATGAGTCAATCAATAGATCAATTATATATGTGACATGAATCTAATGAAGCCTTGATCACACTTTGAATTACATTTTAAATAAACTTACTTTCTATGTAATATAAAGATCAATAGTTAAATCCAACTACTTATTTAGACTTTATGTTAAAAATCGAATTGCTTAAGATATATATTTACCCAGACTACAAATCTTCTTCAAACCTTAAGTATTTATAACTAAATTTATTTCTCGGTGTACATAAAAAACCCTGTAAAACTCATGGAAGAAAAATAACCATTGAAGTTCCAGAGGGCGAAGACAAAAATGTTCTAACAAATGAGACGCATCAGGCAAGGCAATCAATGTGGTTTGGCCACAAAAAAATAAACAAATTCGACACGACGCCAGAATGCTCTTTTTTTGAAATCGGATTTATATTGCCCATAAGTATTTGATATTATTTAACATATTCAATCGGATTACAAGTTCGGAATAAATCTTGTGAAGATACTGAAGATACTACTCTGTGAATGCTTATACCCGAAATCGCTTTATGAACCGAATTATGAAGGCATGACAGCATTTGTCTCATATTTGTCGAAAATACCCGCTCCACACTCACACACACACTCACAATACTCATTCTCCTACACTCATTTGGCTGACTGACTGGCAGACCTTGTGTCCCTTTTCACACATTACGCATACGCCACGTTGTCCCATTCTTTGCTAGCTCGTTGGTTGCCAATTGACACATTTCATGTTCAGATATGCGTAAATAACAATTATTGTAATTTTTCAAAGCGCTCGTTGCGAGACAAAGCCCAGACTTGTGACAATTCAGCGATAATAGAAAAGCGTAACCTTAACCGACAGCGTGCGAACCTTGAACTTGAGTGACATGGGCAAAAGGGCGCCGGATGTTTTTATTTTCTCTTTATTCTACTTTTTTATAGCTACACATACTTTCTGTTCTGCAACACAGTATTCACTCCCTTTTCATATATGAATGTACGTACATATAGGCATCAGGCGTGGATGTGTCGATGGGCCCCGTGTCGTCGTCGGCGGCGCTTTGTGTATGTTTACCAATGTGTCAACATTTTAGATTGCCTTGCATGATTTGCAAGAAAAATGAAGACAATAGTTGAGTTTTACACTCTCCACTCGAACAACCAGTGGGGGCAAGTACCGCTGTCAGCGTGTCACGCGATTTGCTGCCTTTGAACGAGTATGAAATGAATATATTTGTCATAAAGGAAAGTCATGGCCCCGCTGTTTGTGGGTGTCGTCGAGTTCTTTATCCCCGATTAACAAGTGCCCAAAGCAAAGGGATAAAGTATGAAGTATCGTAAAGGGTTGCTGGACTAATTGCTACCTGGTAGCGGTAGTTATATATATTTTTATAAAGCAGCTTTGGGGTTTATTTAAATGTTACTCGAACGTTAAAACAAGTCAAAGGTTGTGCAGATTTTATTGAACATTTAATGATAGTATTTTATGGTAAAAATGTTAAGGGATTAAGTTGGTTTGAAAAGATATGAAAGTTGCAGATTTTAAATTCTGTTGAGGATTAATTCAACAGAAAAACAAGAAAGGAAGCTAACTGCTAAGCTTTATGTTAATCTCTAGAGGCAACAGCTTCTCTCCCACGCACTCACATTCTCTTCTCTGCTCTGCTCTGCTTTGCTCTGCTCTGCTCTGCTCTGCTCGCGGACTATAAATAGAGGCGCTGAGGGCCCGCGCGCCTCAGTCTGTCCTAGGGGTACCTAGTGTTAACATCTCAAGTATGACGTGGCCAATGCAATACATCTGGATGACTAGGAAGAAGCTCCCTTTGGATGGAATCTGCATTCTTGGTCCCAACACTGGAAGGAAGTAAGCAATGACGTGTCATTTACTGCGGTAAGTCTTAACAATGACATGATCAGGCCTGAGTCTAAACTTTATATTCCAATTTATTTCTTTATTGCCATTGTCCTCTTTAGATACTTAGATACTTACTCATTCTTATAGATACTTTAGATACTTACTGATATAGTTACTTACTGGTTATAGATACTTACTGTTCAGAGTTATTTAATGTTCATTGATACTTACTGGTCAGAGTTACTAAATGTTCATTGATACTTATTGATCAGAGTTACTTACTTCTTATTGTTTATAGTTAAATTAAATATCAGCTCGCTGCTCCTCTCTGCCTCTCCCCCTCTCACTCTATGTTAATCGGTCTATGTTAATCTCTAGAGGCAACTGCTTCTCTCCCACGCACTCACACTCACTTTCTCTGCTCTTCTCTGCTCTGCTCGGGGACTATAAATAGAGGCGCTGAGGTCGCGCGCGCTTCAGTCTGTCCTAGGGGTACCTAGTGTTTACATTGATAGTGATAGTGCAAGTGATCAGCCTTCGACCTCAAAAATATGTCGTGGCCAATACAAAACATCTGGATGACCACGAAGAAGCTCTCTTGGATTCTTGGTCACTACACTGGACGGAAGTAAGCAATGACGTGTCCTTTACTGCGGTAAGTCTTAAACATGACATGATCAGGCCTTGGTCTAGACTTTATATTCCAATTTATTTCTTTATTGCCATGGTCCCCTTTACATCCTTAGATACTTACTCATGCTTTTAGATAGTTTAGATACTTACTGATATAGTTACTTTCTGGTTATAGATACTTACTGTTCAGAGTTTCTTAATGTTACAAATGTCGCAAGTCATTGTTTATTAGTGTTCAAAGTGATCATACATACTTACGGGTCATAGATACTTACAGAACATAGTTACTTACTGATCATAGTAACTTATTGATTATAGTTACTTACTAGTCATAGATACTTATTATTCAGAGTTACTTACTGCTCTTAGTTAATTACTGATCATAGTTACTTAATATTTATTGATCTATCTGGCCATAGATACTTAGTGTTGATGCTAATCAAGAATTTACATACATATGTATAAACTTTATATGGTCGGAGATGACTCCTTCACTACGTTGCAAACTTCTAACTGAAATTAGTATACCTTGCAGGGGTATAAAATATAAATGTAATTAAATTACTAATAGAAACAAGAAAGGAAGCTAACTTCGGCACGCCAAAGTTTATATACCCTTGCAGATAGAACTTCTATGAATAGGAATCCATACAATATAAATTATATATATTTGTGTTAAAAAACAATGAAGTAATACCTGCTATCACTTCATTCACCTATACATATTATATTTGCAGTTTTACATTCACAGATTTGCATTTTTCGTCTACATCAAACGATCGTTTGTATGGCACCTATATGATATAGTCGTCCGATTTTCATGAAATTTGACACAAAATATAAAGACTAATATAAAATGGCTATACCTCAAATTTTATGAAAATCTGTTGAAAACCGAAAAAGTTATAAGTTTTAATTGTATTAATTTCTCGATCGTTCCTATGGGAACTATATGATATAGTAGTCCGATTTTCATAAAATTGTATGCAAAATTGTAGAGTATAGTAAAATGGCTCAAATTTGATCAAGTTCTATAGAAAACTGAAAAAGTTAAAAATGTTTTTTTTTTCCGACATATATACGAGTGAGAGTATATAGAAGGCTAACTACACAGTTTCATTCAGATAGCTTCAAAACTGAGAGACTAGTTTGCGTAGTTTGCGACAGACGGACAGAAGGACAGACGGACAAACGGACATGGCTAGATCGACTCGGCTGTTGATCCTGATCAAGAATATATATACTTTATATAGTCGGAGGTGCCTCCTTCACTGCGTTGCAAACTTCTGACTGAAATTATAATACTCTGCAAGGGTATAAAAATGTTTAGTATATATTCCAACTTAAAATAAACTTAGCAAAGCATTACAAAAAGCTGACCAATATCCCCCTGTTTCAGTAACCATTCTTAGTAATCACGTTAGAAAAAGCACCCCCCAATGAGAAATCAGAATTGGGTTAGTTCCGTTCGCCGTCGCATTTTAATTCTATTTGCACATTCGGGGCGAAACTTGTGAATACAAAAGGCAAAACTATAAACAAAGGCAGCAGGACGAGAATGAGAACGAGAAATTGCGTCGCCTAGATAACTTCAGCAACTTTTCGCGATTTCCGCGACTCGCGACTTTCGACTTTTCCGTAGTATTGTGCGGTGCACTCGTATGGGTGAGTATCTGTGTGTCAACAAATGACTCGAATGAAATTTATAAGCAAAGTTAGCTAGACGTTAGCTAGTGTTAGTGGCACCGGCACAGGCAAAAACTTGATAAGGGTTCTCGCTGTTGGTAAGTGAAGTTTCCTCTCCCCCAAAAAAGCCATCCAGCTCATCCAAAAGATACCAAAATATCAGGAATGGGAACGGCATAGTTGCGGTCCACTCCCCCCACAAGTTCAACAGGAGGCCAATAACATGGCCAATGTATTAATTTACGCAAGTCAAATTCAAACTTTGAGTTGAGTTAATTAAATGCCCGGCTGGTAGAGAGAGAGTGAGCTTAACTCAAATAGAAACTAATGATAAAAGGCCACCGAAAGGCAAACCGGGCAACTTACTGGTCAAGAAAGCAGCCAGCCACCTTCTTGGCTTCTTGGAAGCGATTTTCGGTCCAGGAAATGGTCAAGCCGGTCCTTGTCGGAATAATAAGACCAAATCCTTGACTACACTCGTCCACTTTCAAAGGGAAAACGTCTTCAATGACGTGCCAGCCAAGGCGACTTTAG